TTTGATGACTATTTGTCAGCCACTATCACCTTCTCTATTCCCCTAACCATGGTCTCAGAAATCATTCCCTTTCAACGAAGAGTAGGACATAATTTTTTTGCATTTACGACTAGATGGTCAAGATAATCGATTCGTCCACTTTTTCCATTACACAGAAGTACGACGTTACGTGGCATGTATAACAAAACAAATTAGAGATAAAGAGAGAATGAGAGAGAGAGAGAGAGAGAGAGAGAGAGAGAGAGAGAGAGTACTTTTTTCTTTCTCTTTTATCTCCTGTATATTTTTATTTTTTTTTTATTTTATTTATTTTTCCTTTCCATTCTTTTTTTTTTGTTTCTTCTTGTCTTGAATTACTATGGTGAATCCGTAGCAGGGAGAAAAGTTTTTAGTTTCTCGTCGCGTTTCGTGTTATCGTTATGCTCGGCCCGTTGAACCGCTTGGACATTTCTCATCGTGCAAAGTGCCTGCCCGTATTGCATCTTGGAACCGAAAATACGTTCGTCTCTCTCTCTCTCTTTTTCTTTTTCGGACTTGTATTGCAAGTATATAACAAGAAGAAGAGAAACTGAAGTAGAAGAAGAAGAAGAATAAGGTGGAACAAGAAGAGAAGAAGTAACAGTAGCCACCGAAGTGGATCGTGATTCCCTTTAAGGAACTTTAAACCGAGTTTGAACTACCGATTGGCGTTCATGTTAATGCACTAGGAACTTCTCTGACGAAATAACGCTCACAAAGATTGTTCCTAACGCTATCGAGAGGAAATACATCAGAAGATCCCTTTTCGTTAAGTCGGTATCGTTCACGTATCTCGAAAATTCTCAAGTTACCTTCCTTCCAGACAGAAGGACAGAGAGAGAGAGAGAAAGAGAGGGAAAGAGAGAAGGATATTTTCGTTTCTTCTTCCTAGATAGGTAGAAAATAAGTTAAGGAAGATACGGATCCGTGAAGTTGAAGAAAATCAAATAAGAAAAGTAGATCTTTGAAATCGAAATATAAAGTTGGTTTTTTATTTCTTTTTATTTCATTAATTTCGAACTTTAATATCAAAGACCTTTAATAGATGTATAACAAAATTGACGAATGATTATTATAATAATTTAGGTAGATAAAAGTGTGAGATCATGTTTTTGAATATTTACGAGTAGAAGAAAATCAAAATAGGAAGAGATAAATGTTTTTAAATTGTGATATAAAGCTTGTTCCGTTATGTCTGGATATACTCGATAAATTTTCAAATTTTCAATGCTAAGTGAGATACAAAGATTGTCGTAATGGAATGTTAAAAATATTAATCATATTTTTGAACGATAACAAAGCTCGTTGCTATAGTCGCCGCTAAATGAATTTAATGCGAATTTTAAATAAATAGAATACCAGAGGGTAAAGAAAAAAAACAAGAAATACAATAAAACTTAAGAGAACAAAAACGTCAATCTTATTATTTTTCACGAGCTTGTTTCTCGTCCTAACTTATATATTAATCTATGCTGGAATATTCGTATCTACGTGGCCTTTTTTTTGTTCCTCTCGCTATCTCTCTCTCTCTCTCTCTCTCTCTCTCTCTCTCTCTATCTTTCTCTTCATTATTTTCTTTTAAAATACGTCAGTCGAGACCGCTTTTTCCGTGGTTTCTCTCGGAGCACTCGGAGTTTCACGGAATGAAGAAGAAAGATAGAGAAAAGGAGATAAAATAAAGAAAGAGGAGAACAAGGGAGAAGGAGAAAAAAGAAAGAAAAGAAGGAAAGAGAGAGAAAGAGTGCGATACGAGGGAGCTTGTTCGTGCATAGCAAAACCCTCGTTTGAAGGCAGCTACTTCCTTCTGCTGGACTTTCTTTTCTAGCTCGCGAGTTACCCGATATCCTTTTCTGAATACATAAAACGTGAAGGGGAAGTCGCGACTGCGCTTTAGATGAACAATTCAGATTAGAAAGCTTCGTTGCTTTCTTTAAAAACTGGAATAATTATTCTTAAAGCCTCCTCTTTTAATATCATTTTATACGTACGTACTTACATACACAATGTAACACCTTCGATTTTTTTTTTCACTTTAGCGGTGATCTTTTCATTAAGAGAATTTGCAAGGAGACAAAATAAAGAGAGAAAAGATTGAAAGAAAAAAGATACTTTTGTATATTTTCTCTTGTGAATATCTTTTTATTGAAATTGAATCACCTTTATAGAAACACTCGAGGGGGACTCGTATTAATTTTTTATTTACTTTTTTTTATGACACAAAAATATACGTATAACATATTAACGTAATTAACGTAATAACGTGTTTATAAATTTTAAAATCGATAATAGAGAGATATAATATAGTAAGATGTATCAAAGTAATACACATGTATTTATTTCCTTGATCTTTTTTTTCACTAAAAGATCTTTTTTTTCTATCATTCCTCTTGAATCCTTATTCCCCTCTCCCCCTCCACCCACTCCCTCCCCATAGAAGAAAACATCCGTTCGAATTCGCCGTTAATTTGTCACTGTACGACTTAAGTATATCGAGGAAATAGGTTTAACGTTCTTGTCTGGCTGTTCCTTTTTCATCTGCTTTTACGCTACTTTAGCCTTTCATCCTAGAAGCCCTAAAGACATCTGACTGAACTTTTACTCCCTAACACTATGCGCTAGAATACCTCCTCCTCTTCTTCCTCTTCCTCCTCTTCCTCGTCTTCCTCCTCTTATCCTATCCACTCTTCCTTCTTCGCATTTTTCGTGTTTATTCTTTCAGCTTTTACGCCTGTACTAAAATTTATCCCTTTACGGTTTTATACCTTAACGCTGGTTTTTCCTATTCTCCCATTGGTACGGAAAAGAAAAGGAAAAAGAGAAAAGAAAGAAGAAAAAAAAAATAAAACAAAAAAAAGGAAAGAGAGGAGATAGAAAGAGAAAGTTACCAACAAGGCGTTCACATTTTTATTGCACACGCCGCATTTTCTTAGGAGAAAAAGGATTTTCATCAAATAAAATATGTTCGAGGTTTCCTCCCTTCTCGTCTTGTTTATTCTATCCTCATGACATAGCAGTACCTTTTTTTTTTATTCTTCGACCTCGTCAAGTTATTTTTGTCTTCGTTTTTTTTCTCTCTCTCTCTCTCTCTCTCTCTATTTTTCGTTGTATCTCGTTTATTCTTTTTTTTGTGTGTTTTATTTTTAATTTCCTTCATCTACTTTGCGATATTATAATTTTTCCATCCATGTTGACGAATATAATACGATTCACAAAGTAATTTTAACGATGCACCTTCTTTGTCTTACATTATTACTCGTTTTCTTTGGAAAGCGTTATTTCTATACGCTCGTTTAACGCTTACGCTGAAGCTTATTTACGAGTTATTGATTTCTCTTATATTAATTTATAAAAGAAATAAACAAACACACAAACGAAAAAAAAAGAAACTAACTAACCGGGTTGATTTTTAATCTATGAAATATATATTCAAAAATGTTCTTCTCTCCTCTTTTCGAGATCCTTCAAAATATTCAAATTTCAAATTAAAATGATGCAAAAAAATATCAATTTTATTCATGGATATTTTTGACATTACAATTTTTAAATATTACTCGTACTCGTATAGAATGTTTTACATATTGTTTTAAGTTAGGACCTCATCGAATGTAGATTTTTCGAAACAAAATTTATCTTTTTCCATATTTTCCAGTTTTTTTTTTTTTTTTTAATTTTTTTTCCTCTCGTGTACTTTGTCTTTTTTCTTTTGATAACAACAAAATTCCCTGATGAATTTTTACGCTTCATTCGTTCGAGTCAAGCGAAAGGAAAGAAATGCGGGGACGTTGTCGTTGATAGGGAAGAAAAAGGGTTTGCGGAGGGAAGTGTACGTGGAAGTTAGAAAGAGCATAGCTGATGAAAGCTCCGGAAATATGCAAACGTGGCCGATGTTTCTCCGAACATCAGCTATGTGTATTACCCTCGATGGCACGATGCTACCTACCTGTGCACAATATACTATACTTTATTGTTTCGGGCGAAATAGGAATATACTTTGGTGTAAAAATCTTCGTGTGGACTAAACAAAAAAAAAGAAGAAGAAAAAAAAGGAACAAAGAAAAAAATTCTTTTATAAAGCAAAGGGCGAATGTAAATTAAAAAAAAAACATAATATAAAATCGTATATTGAATCTGTAATATCCGTAGATATATATATGATATATACTTATACATATGTTGAATATAGTTATGTAATTTCGGACACATTAGAGATATTAAAAATGTCGAGAAATTTTTACTGAGTTGTCACAGGATTTCGCTTTAAATATTCAATCTGTCTAATGCTCTCTTTTAGTAAGAAATAAATAAAATAATAATAAATATATTAAAATAAGTCCTTTACGCGTGTTTAAATGCATTTTTACTTGGTGTTATTATTTTTTCAATGGGGACGTATTATTTTAATCTTATTATATTACCATTTATTTTTTTACAGGAACAAAATCCGATGGTAAATAGACGTTTGAAATATCACAAGAGACAAAAGGTCCCATTATAAAGAGGATGAAATAGAAGAGAGAAACAGAGAGTGAAAGAAAAGGTTGAAATAACAGATAGGTATCGTTATACAATGAAGTCTCACGGGAGATACGCGTAGTTCGTTTGCAAACGCTTCGCAAGATAACTAACAAATATTATAAAAGATTACTTAGGTTAACGAACGTTAAAATAAAAATCTATCATCTTTTTTATTCGTTTATAATAAAAGAGAAAAATAATCTGATATCGTATAAGCGAATATACAATTTTCAAATTTCGAAAATAAAATACTTTTCTATTCGATTTTCCATTTTATTATCGAATCTATTTCGTACTATGAATATTTTCAAAATAATTTCATTATCGATAGTAAAAAAAATGATTGAAAAATCACATCGCGATTCTTCTTCTTTTTCTTATTATTATTCAATGGTTATTTGTTAAAAGTTTGAGAAGATATTGTATAAGTAGATGATTAGATAAAAAAAAAGTAAATATCTACTCACCCTCGTAAACCCAATCAGGTACTCCATTGTAAATGGTACTGAAAATTCCGCTGTCAGTAATCTGATAATCAATAGGAATCTCAGCTGATGGTCGATAGAAGATATTATTCTGATGAACATAGATCAAAGCATTTCCACGTGGTGCCCAGGTAACAAGTTGTAGGGGTAGGGAATCGTTAGCGGCCTCTAATGAAGTCTCATCTCTGAAAAAAATATAGTTTTCTATTTGAATGTTTATTCGAGTGTAGAGATTGTGATTACGTTGTTATTTCATACAGTCGTTATATGTTTGATATTCTTAACGAAGTTTTGTCGCATACGAAATGGTGGTAGAGATAGGTAGGTAGGTAGGGTGAGTAGATAGGTAGCTAGCTTGCTAGCTAGCTCACTGCAGTCGACGTCGTCGCCATCACGTTGGCGCGACTCCCACGAAATTGCATTCCAGAAACGACATTCTCAAAATTTCGACCGGCCACGTTTTACTACCACCGAGTGTAACGACGCTTTAATTGCGTAGACCGTTATCTTTGAGTCATAGTACCACTCTGAAAGTGATGCCAGAAGTGTGTCATAAAATTTGTTATATCTTGGAAGCTTAAAATTATTGTTTCTCCTCGTGGATTGTTCGTAAATTTTCTTACTTTTAACGCGTCTCTGGTTTAAAATAAAAAATACTCCCCCCTCCTCCCTTTATTCATTCTCGTATACTCTTTATCATCGCAAAATACTTTTCTCAATTGAGAATGTAGCATAGTTTCTAATGACAATTTTTAAACAGGAAGATGATTTTCAATAACAATGATTCTTTTGAATTTTAACATATATTTTTTTATCGTAATTTATTTTGAATCTATTTAACGATTACTTAAGGAAAAAAATAACTGGAAAAAGAGAGAAAGTTACATCTTTCTTTCATTCGAGAAAATGTTTTTTTGATGGTTGTCACGGATGCGCAAGTTCTTACGTACTTTCTCTCATGTGGGAAAACTCTTACTCGAGTATAAAACAAAGCGTATTTTCGTAGATTGGTTTTAAAATGTAAAGAAAAATTGCAGCTGGTGAGTGTTCATAAACCTTGGGAATTTTTGTGAATTATTTTTGTAAGAAAGAATAAAAAAGAAAAATAAAACAACACACACCATTGAAATATAGATAATTTCTTTTTTTTTATTTATTACATTTTAATTGTTTTCTTTTTTTTCTTCTTATATTCATTCCTTTCAAAGAAATAGATAGGATTCACGTAGAAAAGAAAAGGACGATTTTCAGTAAAGACACGTTCTATCAAGTTGAAAACATTTTATCGCAAGTTATGAAAGTTAAAATGAATTTTTCGAACAAACCACCACCATTTCTGACTATGTTCTACATTGGTATTAGGTTTTCCGAAGACGAGTTTTCACCTACGCCTTCTTCAAAACTTTTCAAAGATTTATTTCAAACGAACGTATCACCTGAGGAATATTGTTCTTTTCATACAGATATCTTTGTCACGTCTCGTAGAAAGTCGTCATATTTTCTAATAAGTTCCAACCAATAAAGGGAACCAAAATGATAGAAAGTCAATTGCTCGTTTTCAAATAATTAATATACACACCGAATTGTTAATTGAAATTTAAAAACAATAGTTTCATTACTTTCAATTGAAATATATAAAGACTATTTCTGTTTGTGATTTATTATAAAAAAAAAAAAATATATGTATATATATATATATATATATATAGAAAATTAATGCTCATATTTTATTATTTACAAATTTACTTTCGTCTTATGTTGTTTTTTTTTAATAACAATCAGAAAGATTAACTTTCTGACAGTGAAAAAATTAAAATGGAAGACTACTTTTTGTATGGAGAAAAAAATGTATTTTTTAAAAAAAAAGATTCCAACCGGAATTGTAATACTAATAACGAGATAGCATATGGATTAAATTTATTACGTTATTATTTTGGATATATTTCCGACGATTAAAATATAACAAAATAAAATTATTCTCTTTCCTGTACGAAAATACAAGTTTAAATTCTCTTCTAAATTGATCGAATATTTTAATCGAATTTATCACCCGGATCGTTCGGAAAATGTGATCGTTTGTTTATCGAGTTTATCAAATTCTTACGATAAGTAATTTAATCAATCGAAGAAAAATGGCAAAAAAAAAAGAAATTAGATAACAACTGATCGGTGTATAAAGGAGTGTAGGGGGATGGAAAGGGTGGGTTCGTACTAGTCCGGATCTGGTTTGTATTGTGGTTTGACTGCGGTGTCATAGATATTATTACTTCTCTTCGTCTAGCTCAAAGGCAAACTTCTTCTTGAAAAGCTATAAATAAAGTCGACGGTATTCATGCGGCGTACAAACCGAGTTTATGGTAGACAAGTAGTAGTTCCCTCTTTTATATATATCGCCAGTTTTCTACGTGAAATATATATATATATATAAGCGTAAGAGAAAGAACTTATGACTTCTTTGTTCTTCGTGCATACAAGCCTCTTCTTCCTTCCTGTGTATACTTTGCTACTATGACACTATAAGATGAAAGTCGTAGAGAAACACGACTACGATAACTCGCGTTTTCTATCTATCGTGAGAACAGCCACTTGGTTAAAATTTTCTATACATTTCAATGTGTTTCCTACGAAACCCCTTTTTCGTGATCATCTTTTCTATATACTTTATCGTTTACAACATATATAGGGTAGTTTCAACAACTATTACCACCTAAATATTTCTATTATTTAGATCTAATATAGAAAAATGTTATATACGAAATTTATATGACATGGAAAGGTACATAAGGTAGTGTTAATTTTTTTTTTGTAGGTGGAAACGTACGGAAGTTTTTAGAGTCACCTTGATTTTTGAATGTTGAATTAAACGATCATTATGGTTATAATATTTTCTCTATCGTAACATTTAAATAGCTTGTTTAGTTCGTTCGACTTTTTATTGATATATATGTTATCGTAAAAGTGAATCAACGATCTAACCACAACGTTGGATTATTAGTTTCTTCCAAATCATTAAAGTAAAGTAACATAGGCACAGTTAAAAAAGAGGATGGGTGATCATCACCACCCGTTTGAAAAGAACAAAAACCTTATGTTGTTAACTCCAAAGAGATCGACATCTCCAACAATCGCGACTTCTTTGGTAGTATTGGATAAATGTGAGAAGATGTTAGAGTAGAGAAGTTACTCGGAATTCGTAAAAAAGAGAACTATAGTTTACCGCGACTTTAACATCACGGTCTACTCTAATTACGTATCACTTTACGAGGATACGGATATATGAGTTTTTTTACCTTATTGTTATTTCATATCAGATATAATGAAATTAAATAAAACTATTTGCAATTATTTTTACTGATATCGGATCTTGAATAAAAATGAAAATAAATAATACACATAGCTTTTATTATTACTTGTCATTAAACATTAACAAATAATTAAAATTGATAATATGAACATTTGATTCATTGCATTGGTTCATTAATTGTCAATAATATGTTATTAGTTGTTCTTGATTCTGTCGATTAAATGGTAAAAAAAGAAACTTAAGTGCAATTACTAGTGCGATTTTGTTAAATGATTTTTTTTTCTTTTAGTTGATCGTTAGATTAAACTTTAACGCGACTTTTGTAAAGTGATAACGTTTCTCGCTGGTTGGTAAGAGAGTATGTTTGCATGTATGTATGTACGTGGAAAATAAAGTTGACAAAAGGCTACGGAAAAGTCGAAGTTTCTACAAAAAAAAAAGAGGGGAAAAAAGGGGAACCACGCTCGACTAAGTATTAAAAACATAATGTAAATAACGCGATTTTTAAAAGTTGAGAGTTTACGTCCCCGTTCCGTGGCGTTCTTTTATAGTAGGTGCAGGTGTAGGAAAGTACGAGAGGAAAAGTCGTTGGTACTTTCGTCCCTGACAAAAGGTACCTACCCATACTATACTTACTTTCTGTATACGTAAGAAAGAAAAAGTAAGAGAGGAGAGACAAAATATTATCGACAGTTGTGGCTAGTACATTTTAAAAAATGGCTTGCGCGTTTATTTTATACATTCCTTTTTTTCCTTGTTTTTTTTTCTCTTCCCTCCACGACTTTTACAATTTGTCGAGTAGCGTAGACACTTAATTTATCTCTGTCTAAATTTTGATGAATTTTTTAATATTGATACAATTAATATATACACCTGAGACGTTTTTTTTTTATTATAAATAAGAAGAAAAAGTGTTCTAAAAACATTCTATGAAACAATTGATTTTTTGTAAATTATGAAACGTGTGTTCGATTGAAGCGAACGATAGAAAAAGTAATTTTAAATACAAAATTGTATTTGATAATAAACTCTCTTATCTATATATGTATATCGTTAATTGATATTATTAACACTTTGGTGTATACACTATCTTGTTCTAAGTTACTTTCAGGGATTTGTTAAAATGTTTTGCTGTTCGTATAAGAAATTAGATAAAAAAAAAGAGTATATTAGTACTAGATCTGTTTACTCGTAACTTTTTATTTTCTTTTTTATAGAAATATTTCATCGTATTATTGTTAAATGTTATAGACTACCATTGCAACGTATTCGAAGAAAAGATAGTAAACATATCAGAAGTTAGAGTGCTTTGGTTTAATAGCGCTTTAAGAGAAAAGAAAGCAAGAAATATAAAGAAAGAGAGAGAGAGAGCAGAAGAAGAAGAATAAAGGAATAGTGAATTTAGGTTGGTATGCTCGAAGAAAAGTTTTTAACAGATGAACCGACAATGTAGCACTGCGAGACCTTCGAGAATTGAACTTTACCGCGGCTTCTACTCTCTTTATATTCCCTCACACTTTTCAGCTCTTTCCAACCAAACCACACGGTCGTCCCCTTGGAGAGAAATTAAATCCATTAAAAAATCTACTTCGTCTATTACACTGCGAATTGTTCCGTTTTCTTCCACCCTTTCTCCCCATCTTTCTTCCTTTCTCTCTCTCTCTCTCTCTCTGTCTCTCTCGTAAGTAATTTCATTTTCGGATCTTCTAACTATCTTTGACCTCCCCTTACTTATTTCCCTAACCTCTCTCGAATATTTTAAAGAGGAAGAGAGAGAAAGAGAGAGATAGATAGAAAGAGAAAGAGAATAACAAAATGGTGAAGTATTTACACTCATCGTGATATAAGGGTTTTTTAAATGCTGAGTTAACGTTCAAATCCGCGAAGGAAACCACTTTCTCGTATTCTCTCTCTCTCTCTCTCTCTCTCTCTCTCTCTCTCTCCATTTCTTTCTCTTACTTTCTTTTTTTTTTCTTCCAAATGTGGTAACGGAAAAAAGGTGATAGTAAGACGACGCTAGGATTAAATTTTCACGTAGTTTGTAATTTCTACGTTACAGGCTTTTCCAAGTAGGTACGCCTAAGGCTTCTATCTCTTTTACTCACTCTTCTATCTATCCTTATCTCTTTCCATCCTTTTTCTTCATTTTGTTCCTAGCTTACGAGTACTCTAGGAGAGAATGTGAGATTAAAATGCAAATCCGGACTCGACCACATGAATAAGTCTGAGATATGATTATCGTAAATGCCCTCGAGGCATTGCTCGTTTACTTACAAAGTCTTCAGGTTCACGATCCTGTAGTGGGCCAGGTATGTGTGCCGGTATAGCTGTAACAAGAAGCAAACGGGTTACTTGTTATGAGCCTTCTTCTGGTAACAAAGACGCCAAGCGAACGACTTTAACGAGGAAAACTTGGAAAAAGAGTAAAAGAGAGAAAAAGAGAGAAAGAGAGGGAGAGAGAGAAAGAGAGAGATCAAGGAGATTTTATTTTCTTGTTGGATAGAACTTCGTGTAGAAATAGAGTATAAAGAACATATAACGAGAATAGGGTTATTTTAAATAAACTCCTCCAAACTGATAGTATAAAATTATACTTCTTGATTGATGTATAAAATGTCGATTAGGAAGATTGGATGAATTTTGAATGTTCAAGAATTTTTTCATGAATTATTAAATAACGTACTATATTTTGGTTAACGAAACTACTTTAAACGAAATGAAAATTTCTTGGTTTACCTCGAATATTTTTTTTTTTGATAAAATTTTATCCTCCCCCACAGAAAAAACAAGGAATATGTAACAAATTTGTAGAAATTGTTATATTGTAAATTTATTGTTGTAATATGTTTTATTACAACAAAAATTTGTAATATTGTTATATTTTCTAAGTTCAGTTTATATTAATGTTTATATAAATTTCTCATATAACATCGATTCTATCAACTTTGTATATATATATTTTTACAGATATTTTCCATCGGATATAAAACAAATATTATACAAGCGTTCGATATCTTTACCGTCGTAAAATGATGGATCAATCTAACTTGCGTTGCCAGTGCAATGAGTGCCGCTACTACGAATACTACCGCTACTACTTCTACCTCTATTACTATATGTATCGCCAAATACTACCAAATAGCTTCCGAAGGTACTTCTTCCTCCATAACTTTTTGCCATTTAACTTTTTGAAAAATGTCAAGCTGCTGGATAAAGTAGTGTTTGTAATGTAGTTTTTTTTTCTTTTCTTTCAGACAAAAGTGAAGTCCGATAAATCGTTTGGAGATTTCTGCGATCAGTTAATGATTAACAGTTACATCACGATCATAAATTATGTTTGAACGATGTGGTAGAGTGAAATAGAGAAAAAAGGAAAGAGAGAGAGAAAATAGGATAGGGTGGTGGAGTATGAGAGTATGGGGTCTAGTGTACCAGACGACGTTCACCATCAACGGAGAACATCGATAGTGCTCTCGCTTCGATGTGAAACGATTCATAGTGGTCTCTACGCTATTTTGCCTCCATTAACTCTTTCAGGACTCGATCATAAATCAAGCGGACCGACCGATAAGATCAAAATAACGCCATTTTCACGCATTCGAGGCTACCACGATTCTGTGAAATGCATGGCCGCGTATAAACGCGGTCTAGAACACGAGTAAAGAGAGAGGGAGAAAGAGGAGAGAGAGGAGATCAATGCTCATTTTCATCGTATAGTCGTTCTCTCGCCTTTTCAACTATTCGCACGTTGGATTGGACGGTGGAATTCTATAGAAAATTTCTTGAATGATTGAAAATGGTGTGATGCAAGGTGTGAGGCATGTATGAGCTTTGACGAGTTACGAGTTGCGAGTTTTGACACGTGTAACATTACAAAGTAACGAATACTACTCATTATTGACATAAATATTTTATTAAATGAATAAGATTTAAAATATTGAATATTATTAAATATCTTTCTCTTTTTATAATTCTTTTCGTCCGTTTTATCTTGGTGTACGTTTCGCTCGAAATAAAATTTTCGTTGAAATCGACTGACCAAGGTGGAAAACTTATAATTTTAAAGTTCGACTAATTTCTTTTTTTTCATTTTTTTGTCAAGAAATCTGATTGATCCTTATTTAGTTAAAAATTGAAATTTTTTGATAGATTTATCGAGAAAAAGTACCTTTCTAGCACGCGATATTTGTCCTATGATCCAGTAAAATAATAGAAGAAAGAAAGAAAGAGAAAAAAAAAGAAAAGAATAAAAAGAAAATCGATTCAGTTTTGTTGAATTTTTCAGTTGTCATCTTTTCTCGAGGGATGCAAAAAAAAATAAAAAAATAAAAAAGATAACGACGAAAGAGGAATAGTCTATTTTTAGTTTCGCATTCTATTTTATATTCCTATAGGTAGGAAAATGTAGACAGCCGTTCTTACGATTGATCGTCGATCGATCGATCCGTCGTTCGATAGATCGGTTCGACGACGAAAACGAAGACGAAGAACGACGACGACGTTGTGCTCGGACGGCATTGAAATTCAAAACGGTGCAGAAAGGTATTTGTAAGCACGCTCGTTCTGTTACCGCGACCCTTCAAACTCCCTTCTTCTTTCTCTTTTTCTTCTTCTTCATCCTCATATCCWTCCCCACTACTCTACTATATACGTTCGTCTAAAATCGAATATGTATCGACGCTAACGTATTCCCAATAAAAGTTCTACTAGCGCTTGCTTTACGACCTATTCACATAAGCACGAAAGCAAACGAGAAAAAGAGAAACAGAGAGAGAGATAGATAGATAGATAGATAGAGAGAGAGAGAGAGAGAGAGAGAGATAGAAAGAGAGTAGAGATATATTTCTTCGTTTGTGGCTTTTCAGAAAGGTGCTGCTGCTATCGTGTGTTCCACTTTTATTGCCAAGGGTTCCGTGGTTCAAATAAGATTGCCGATGCGGTGATACACGGGTACGGTTTTTCTTATCTCGTTTAACGATTTTCTCGTTAGAGACTTGCTTTAGATCTTTTTGTTCAGTAAGATAGATGACCGATCCTTATAAAACGAGTATATGTAAAAAATTTATCTATAGTTTATCTTTTATTGTTAATAATAAAATATAATTATTTTTACACGATACGTCAATAATAAACTATAATTATTTTTACACGATAAGTCAATTATCTGAAACATTGTATCGGAAAAAATGTTTCGATGAATTTTATAACAATCTGAAGAATGAATCCGATGGATATTATTTGATTTATTGTATATTTTTATTTCTTTTTTTTTTTATCAATATTAAATTGATCTACAATTTTTCAAGTTACATGTATATTGTTTTAATATTATCATCCATTAATGTCGATAGAAGGATTAATCAAAAATTAAAATGAAAAAAAATGTTACATATCTGTTTTTTTTTCTTGTTTTTATAAATCAAATTCTATCTATCCGAATTTACGTGTTTTATTTTTATAAAACAAATAATTTTAAATATCTGTTTGCTAAGATACTTGTACCAAATTCTTCGAAACAAAATATATCTTATATAATTTATTTTAAAATAGTTTATAATAAATATACGAAAATAATTGTACGTATTTATGAATGCTTGAATAATCAATTAAATTATTTAATTTCATTTTTTTTATGTTAATTATTTATAAAATTCTATAGAAAAGTTCTTATATTTCACTTGTTAAATAAAAGTTTTAATAATCTCTTCTTTTCGAATGGTAACCACGAAGAATAGAGAACGCGAAATTATATTAAAGTTTCTTTCATAGTTTCTTTTAAAAGTATCGTCTGTTTAAGAACTCGGGTAGAAAAGATATTCGATAATACGACAGCGATTTTCAATGCGTTAAACGTAATGGTAAGTTTCATATCTAATGATATACAATTCCAGACACGCGCATCTTCCTTCGAAACTATTAATAATGTTATATTGGAAAGATTCGTCGAAATTTTGCTTGCACGTTTCTCTGTGGAATTATATTAATGAACTATTGTTAAATCTGCTATAATATTCTCCTACCATTTCATATAACAGAATAGTAATAATAATAATAATAATAATAATAATTATATATGTGTAATTATATATATATAGATGATGTCGGCTTGGAAGATCTTAATCCCCAATGAGTCGGCAAGTTCTCTATCTTTAAATCAAATTTGAGAATTGTGGCGTATTGGCTGTTGTGTTCGAGCATAATCGAGGCCTTCATCACATCCTTTTTCACAACCAGTCCAATATGAATACCAGAATATGAAATTTTACTGCTTCGAAGAAAATCTAACAATGCTTCTAGGGCACCCAAAGTTGATGTTTGGACATATACACCTCGTTCAGCAAGTCGTATATTTCCAAGAGCACTGCTAAGTTCCTTGGCTATTTCTTCTTTCAAAATATCTACTTCATCCGGCTTTTGAGCGATTTGGAGATTCAATCCAGCAATAGCTTTTTCTAAATCTTTAGCTGCTATTTTAACATCTTGAACAGCCTTAACTTCTCGATGCTTAATGTATGCATTTTTTACTCTTAATTCTTTTAATGGCTGGGGCATAAGAAGCGATCCTATTTGTGTTACGATGGGTCCATCAGTTCCTGCAACTATCATCGTATCACCTTCTTTCAACATGCCATTTACGAGAATACAATCTATCGTAGTTCCTAAGCCAGGTAGTGCTTTAACTTCTAGTACAGTAGCTTGGAGTTCTTCGCTATACATAAGTCTCTTAGCTAACGGGCCCTGGGAAGCATCGACTATTAATGCTACCAAATTTCCCATTCCTTCGCCTGTTATGGCACTGGTAGGGACTAAAGATACATAACTATATGGATCAGGATTTTCATAAAAAAAGCTGCATTTAGACTTTACTCAGCAAATTGTACGATTACTTCTTTTGAACGTTTCTCAAATTCTCGTTGCGTATTGATAGCTTGACTTTTTATAATATCTTGAACATCTTTTCGATTCATCGTTTGCCAATCGTACAGCCTGTTAATCTTATTAAGAGCTACAACAAATGGACATTTCTTAACTTTTAATAGATTAAAAGAGGAGGAATTAGAAATCGAGAGGATCCTCGACTTATAAGATTACTGATAGATTCGTGTCTAGGTGTGTCTATTGTCAAAAGTCCGGGTATTTTAAATACTTTATTAGCAAAATCTTTAACATGTTTCGTTGATTCTTATATCGCTTCAATTGGTACATTGGTTGCAACAATCTGTTGAGTGATACCACCAGCTTCATTATCCTGTATGTTAGTTCTCCTCAATTTATCAAGGATCTTTGTTTTGCCAGTATCTACATAGCCTAAAACACAAACTACAGC